AGATTTATTTTATATCTCGCCCAGATATGTTTATACCAGACCAGACAACTATCTGCTGTCTCAGGTTAGCAACACAAGACCTTAACAATTTAAGACCACCTGTCTATGCTGAGGCTACTTGCCCAATCATACACCAACATAACAAATGGATTACCACAGGATAAATGCAATGGAAAATTTCTTACGATATTTCCTACTGCTAGGTGCTCAAAATATCTACTGTTCATTAACCTCAATTACAATGTTTGAATATAAGAAACCCATATTTTCTTACCTACTTGGTTTGGATCGTTGTAAACCTCAACAAAGTCGCCACCACACATAGAAAAGCCTTCAGTAATCCCTGCACTGTTTGAAAGAAAACCTACAATTATTGGAAAACAAATCCTAATAGAAACTTTTACGAAAAGAAGATAGTACTCATATTAAAAATAGGCTTATTTCTAGCTACGACACCTGTACTTTTCACCAAATCTCACTTTACCCCTACACTCTATATTGTCTCACTTTACCACCTGCACTATTCCTTTGTGTCTCACTTTACTCCTACACTATATTGTCTCATTTTAACACCTGCGCTCTTTATCAATGTCCCGCTTTACCCTAATCTGTCAAATAAGTTAAGTGAGCCGTTAATTGTGTTGACGTGGCATGGACAATTAAGTCTCGTTAGCAGAATTAACAGCTCTCTTAACTTATTTGACGAAATAGGGTAAAGTGAGACATTGAGGAAGAGTGTAGGTGTTAAAGTGAGACAATATAATGTGTCAGGGTGAAGTGGGACACGGAGGAAGAGTGCATGTGGTAATGTAGGGGCTAAGGTAAGATTTGGAGACTACAGGTGTCATAGCTAAAAATAAGCCTTAAAAAAAAAAAAAAGATAATAAGCATATCATCTCTTTCTAGGTTACTGCTATATTGAAGAGTATCCATTCAACCACTATCTATTTCGATGATAAACACCTTAAAAGCACTAAGAGAACTGATAGTATGTCAGAAACGCTTTTGTAGCATTACTAAAGACTTCAGACAAATGAATTAGCAGCATCAGTACCTAGCCGGATGAATATCTGGTACTGTAACGGGGCGAAGTTGGTCACTCTCTGAAAGTGAATTGCAATTGCTGTGGATCCAAGGATATATTGTCCACTCCCCAGCAGTTTGACAACTGAGTAACCAAACAAAACCATCTAAGAAAAGAAAACATAGAATACAAAATGAAGAGAATATATCGGAAAAGAATCTATTGCCAACCATTGAAAACTCTCTTCCATGGTCAGAAAAAGGATTCCTTTTTCGTGATAGCAAGATGGTTGAAGACTATTTAAGGCGAGGTGTAATGACATGCTTACTGATTAAGAATAAAATTTGAACATATCATCATGTAGTATGAAAATTCATTTCCCTGGCTTATGAAACCTGCATAGAATATGAGAAATAATACATGAGTATGAATATATATTGAAAATGGAATTCTTAGCAAACAAACAATGTATGCACACCTAAACACGAGATTTCCAAAGCCAGCCGCCCAAGTCCAGCACCAGGAACCAAACAGGCAGGAGGACTGTTCGAATAAATATCATTATCATACACAATAAATTACTTGAGAAAAAACCCGTGCTCGATAAGGAAAAGTAATTTGATAATTGCAATGGTTAAGAAACGATGCAACGATAGGAAGACAGTGACACATATGAAAACATAAAACTAAGATCAGAAAATAATATTACCTTTTCTTAGAGCGATCAGCAAATAGTGCATCAAGTTCTTCTAATATAGGCTTGTAGCACTGATCACGTTCTTTCTGTCCCTGTATTTAATATAATTACAAACTTAAGTAAAACTGGGATATCCTCGATCATAGAAATCAACAATAAATCATCAGATACCTCTGCCGCCCAGTCTCTAACTATGTTCCGTACTATACAACGGACCTGTAGGGAGGGTAAAAGAAATTTTTATAAATTAAGCTAAATTGTTTACTGATTGTATTTCTTATTACTTAAAGGGAAAACAAAAACAAGTAGTCTCATAGCACCAGATATCCAACACAAGAGAAGCAATATACCTTATCAACATCAACTAACGGAACATGTAACTGTAACGATGGATCCAACCATGTCCGAGATGGTGAGGATACCTAAACGCGTATCACCAAGAAAGTCACAATTTTCAATTGAAAAGTTTGGCCACTTTCTGAATAATTAAACCATAAAAAGAGAAAGACACGTACTCAAATAAGTTGTAAATTAATGCTATAAAGAAACAAAAACTCATACATCTCCATTGGAATCATTCCCACAACAGTTATGTGTCTCTCTAATATATTCCACACCTGAAGTGTGTCCATCGGTAATGGACTCACGATGACCGTTATTGTCTACCTCCTGTGGTTATCTACAGAGGTCAAATTTCTAATGAAGGACATTATGAAGAAAAATATACATCTAAGTCTCATAATGAAAAGCTAACATGGTCGTGTAAGTGTTGCAGAAACCTTTTTAGCAGTCACTATTGGTGAACTGTGGACTGTGTTGCTCCCTTCCTCATAACAGACCTGATCTGAATTGGAAATATGCAATCTTTCGCTGGCGGAGGTAGACTGAGAAGAGCAAACATTATTTACTCCAGAAACATTGTGATTATTTGGGACGTTTTCAAGATGGGGGCCATCACAGACATCTATGTCCTGGCTCAAATCAAGTGGGGGTTCAAATGCCTGCAATGTATATAAAAGTGGGGAGACAAAAGAAGTCAAGAACCTTAATACCAATTACCCCAGTTTGAGGAATCGCTCACATAATGTCAGTCCTTTGAGAAGTCATGAAGTGTCGCGATGTCAAAAGGTCATCAGAATATTATCAAACGAATAATTTTTACTTTTTTTAGATGGAAAAGTGATTAAAAGTAAGTTGGAACTAACCTGAAGCATGTTAAAAATGAAATATGAATTTACAGAGATGCACCTGCACAACAAGTCTGACCCATTACAAATCTCGAAACTCTTCTACCAATCATGTAAACAGAAAGAAAGTCCCTAGGATGTTTTACAGAAAGTTTAAAAAATAAATAAGGACACCCCACCAGTTATTTTGAAACACAATTAGACGTCAAAATACTAAATAGTATTAAGCAAATTCCCACCACATTAACCTTGAGTTAGTTTTTGAGTTAATATGTCAAGTTTTACAATTTAAAACCGTAGATATGCCAGTCGTTGGTGTATTATCCAAATTCCAAAAACTTGAAATTAATGTAATGAAACAAGTCAAGGAAAATTTACCGTCTTAGTCTTTGAAGCTTTAACGGGTAGTGGGATAACAGAGCCTGCAAATAGAGGGAGATTGTTAGAAACGAAAAAGATAGTGAAACACCAATTTGGTTAATGTATCCCAAGTTCCTAGAGTATGAAAGCTCTTTTAGTATTTCTATACCTTATGGGCAGGTGGAAGCATTCTGAAAGATCTTTCATATCGTCTCACGTCCTCTTCTGACGCCTCCGGGTAGCTGCATTCAGAATGAGGGACATTATTCAAACTACACGCACAGCAAATATTTGATATCTCTGAAAATAAATAAATAAAATAGGCTATCACACCAACAGAATAATCAAAAGGTTCATAATTTACAAAATTCGAGCCGTAAAGTTCAAGAGTTTCGAGTGTGATCAGGCAACCAGAAATAAAAAAATGACAGAGTGGCCTGTGATAGATCGATTGGAAGCGAAGAACGTTCGACTGTGAGTCACAGGGTGAATTGTAAGCCCCAACCTTAACGAGCATTTTCGGGGACTAGCCCGCTTTATACACAACCTAGTCGAGCATAATGTAAAAAAACAGATATTCGAACTGAATATGTGACAATCACAGCAGCCGTTTTTTTTTTCTTCAGAAGTTCAAATATTTCGATTGTTTACAAGAAAAATTAAATCTTTTGGTATTAAATTAACAAAATTAAAGAAAGGATCAAGCTTTACAATCATTGATGCAAATTATATAAATCCCAAATCATTGAATTCAAACTTGAGTAGTAGTAGTAGAGAGAGAGAGAGAGAGAGAGGGTACTTGAGGTAGGCGCTGATTATGCGCCTGAGGGACTTGATTTCGAGAGCTTCTTCGAGCTTACTCTGGCGACGTCGTTCGTCGTCTTCGTCCTCAACTCCTCCTCCTGCTGCTACAGGATGCATATCTCAGCTGTCGTCGGCTCTGACTGACAGAATACTGACAGGAACACACTAATGAGAGTACTTCGACTCCTCGCGTAGTCAAACAGGATGAGTCACACACGCATGATTGAAGGCCGAGCCCAATATGAAACACAAACTTATAGACCGACCAACCCACTAGTTCCTGAGACGTTGGGGGTCTGATTAAAGAGTTGGATATTTACATGTTTGGGCTTTTCATATCTTGATTGAGGGAATTGAAGACAAGTTACGGTGCGTAAATATTCTTAATCACTTGACGTAATTATTTTGTAAGGTCAATGATTATGAGTCCACTCGACTCAAGAATATTAAGTAAGAAACATCTTTCCTTACAAGTGATTTTAGTAAGCGTAAACATTAAGGATTTGTTTGAAAGTGCTTTTAAAATAACAAAAAGTATTTTTGGTAAAAATATTTTGGAACCAATTTTTAGTAAAAAATACTTGAAGTGCTTTCTGAAGAAGCACCAATTATGTGCTTCCTGCTTCTTTAGGAAACACTTTAAGTGATTTTGGAATTTAAAAACATTTTCTCTAAAAACGTTTTCAATTATTTTAAAAGTATTTCCAAACAAAGTCCTAAAATATTTATTAGAAGTCCAAGTACTTTTGTTAGAAGCACATTAAAGTGCTACAGAAATTTACCCATAAAAAAACACTGGAAAAAATTGGAAGGGTCTAATGCTATTAATAGCACTTTTAATGATCATAAAACGTTTTTTTTGAACAAATGATATTATTTACACTAAAAGGGATGAGGTGTGCTATGAACTTATCCGTTCACTTGGTAATAACTTTAATTCAGTATTGATTACGAGGAATAAACCTCCCAAGTATGATATCTCCTGGCTATGAACTTGGGTTGTGCTAAAACTTGAACAACTTTCATCAAAAGCTAATTTTCCATTTTCTTGTGACAAGAAAACCACCTAATTTTGTTTCCATTAATAAGCCAAAATTACTTGTGGCAGAAAAACTTGTACATTAGCAATCTAGCATAATAATTACTGATTGTTGGTGGAGTTGTATGGAGAAGCTGCTTGACTTCTTTGCTTTCTCTTTTGGAGGAAGCTTCGAAGAGACCTCTTCATGGACACACCTGGAGGCCCGTAAATTTTAGACCGCAATGCAAGCAATACTGCGCTGGACCACCTCGATGATGTCCCTTCTCCTCGCATTTCCCTAGTTGCCAACAAAATAATAGCCCTAGCCTACACCAGATCAAAACTAATCATTAGCTACTAGCTAGCAACTAAACAGACTTTGAAGGGGTTTTGCTTTCAATTAAAATTGAGAACTATGTTTCATTTGCTTTCAATTAGCCGATCTCACTTAGCGGAAAAATGTTTTGTTGTTGTTGTTATTGTTTAATTTGCTCTTGTTTTACAAAAATTCTTAGCACGATTCGTACGTCGATGGTTCTAAGTTTTAACACATCAGGAATTACCTGAAGTTCTGTCACGTCGCAGACAAAAACTTGTCCATTGTAGAAAATGGTAATCTGTGGTTCGCCCCGAGTTGACTCATCCCTAAGAGAAGCAGAGAGATATCAAGCGTTCGGTTCCAAAATTTATCCAAGTAAAATGTAAAGATCATGAGAACAAGAAAACTCACAAAACCATTTGTTTGGTCGTTTCAATCTCTTGGCATGATATATAAAAAGAGGGAAACGAAAGGGCTTTGTTTTCTAAATCGTTCACACACACGCCACGAAATTATCCCCACTTTTAAGCTATTAATGTACGTGAATTCAATACATCAACGTACGGTTAACAATCACATATGTGGTTTTGAATGTGGAAAAATATCATATCATTTGGTGCATGAAAACATTGATGAACTTACGTTGGAGTCTTCTGAGAATCTAATGGTGGTGCAGAAGTGGCCATCGAAGGAAGGTGAACGTACGAGCTGCGCTTCGTTGCCGATAGCCAACAGAGAAGGTAAGTGGAGAGACAACTATTTCATCCAAGATTAAATCAAATCATATACGAATGTAATGTAAAGCTACAAAATAGAGGGAGATAGAGAACTGTGGTCGACGAAGGGAGGAGAGTGTTTTTGCAGAGAAAGCATAAAAAACGTGCCCCAAATAATGGCCAGGTATCTGGCCACGTGAGAAATTCCTTCACTCTCTTTTTCTCTCTCTAATATTCTTTCTCACTCTTTCTCACACTTTCACTTTTGCTAAATAATAATGTTGGAGAACTTAAACTTGTAAATAAAATTTACAAATTAAATTATGTGTCATCAATAAGAAATGAGCACGTTTATCAACGCTTAAGTAATAATCCAACCATCAACTTTCATATCACTTAGTTTACAAAATTTTGTTTGCAAATTTAGTCTCCCTAGCATTACTCTTTTCTAAATATCTATTTCTTGACGTCTGGTGTAGGTAGTGGCCCTTTCTCCTTTCAAACTGGATTCCAAAAATGGAAATGCAATTGACTCGTAACCCTATTTACTTGCAAGTTAGATGGAGACAATGCTCAAAATTGAGATATTTTTTTACTTGAATTATCACCCATCATCATCTCTTTTATTTATGCGGTCGTGAATTGGATGTCACAATTTTAAATGAAAATTTTATCTGTACTTTTGATGTGGTTTAATCATATTTAACACATGTCTTTATAGAAACAAATTTATCACAATCAACAAAAATATCTTTTGATATGTGTTTCTCTCAAACCCGAAAACACCAAGGGTCTGTTTGGATGGAGAATTTAGTTCTTCCAAGGGATTTCTTAATGATGGGAGTAGGAAGTGAATGGATTAGTGATGAGGGGAGTCTAGAGTTCCTAATAACTTCCTTGTTTGGATGTATGTAAGGGGTCAGGTAAATTGTAATGATGGGCTTGAAGATCCTGCGTTTTCAAAATAGTTAGCCATTCAAAACAGGAAAATCCATTTGTTTGCAAATTAGTGTCATTAGTATTACGGTCTAGTGATATTTCTCTTGACTTGTACACGAGAGATCTTCAAAACGATTTTTTGTATATGAGAGCTCCATTAGGTTTACGAAGTTCGTAACGTTTCATGGAAATATTTTTTTTTTGTTATTAAAATAACAAAAATATAATAATCTAATTTCATGATGTTGTATGAGTAAAAAAAAATTAAAAAACACACCATATGGTATTGTATAAACATTGACTACTAAAATAATACTCTTAAATATGAAATATAAACAAACATAAAAGAGAGGCATATCACAAATTCACAATTCACGAAATGCATGGTCAAGCTTAGACAATGCACTCTAGTCTAGCATAATGTACCCATCCCTTCCCATCATAAATTTATCCCAAACCCACTTTTTCCCACATCTAAAGCTCACTTTTTTCCTCTCAAGTTTTCATAGCCCTCGATGCAAAGCCATCCGTAGATTAATTATACGAATGATTTGCGAGTGGTTGCTAATATTTGAACTTAATTAAAATTTGAAATTTTGCTACATTTCTTATATACTATTACTATTTTGACAATCAAATTTGTTGTAATGAAATTTACATAACATATCTGACCATCAAATAACAATAATAATACTAAATACTTGTAAGTACTATAAACCAGTCATCAAAATTTCATATATTGTAGAAATGAGTCTTGGTAAAGTGAGAGGAGAAATAAGGAACATAATGAGACTTGTTCCACAAACGTCCTTGTTAATTGTTATGCAACATAACGCATGCACTGCGGCCCACATGCATGCAATTACCATTTATTTTCACTTTAACTCATCTAGCTAGTCACAACTCACAAGTCACTCCTCCCTTCTCAAACGAAAAGTTGTTTTCATTCAATTAAGGCACGAGGAAATTGTCCCTCAAATGGCACGTGCTTAAATTCGTTTCCCTTTCAATTCAAATGCATGATAGCCAAAGGCAATCATGTGCAAATGGGAGTTGCAAGTCCAATGAGATGTTGCGGCTTTGCTTGGTTTTTTACTGGTTTTGTAAAGCAGATGAGATATGAGGCTCATATTACAAGCCCCAAAGGACCTTGTAGGGGACGACAGATATGTGTGTTTAGTTTGTGTGGAAAATGTGATATTTCCTCTACATGTAGTAAACTTCGGAGTATTTTCAAAGCAGGTGGTGCACTTTTATTACATATGTCATATATAAATGTATCACACCATTTATGCACATGCCATGCTTTATTGCTATTGCTGGATCTCAACGTTCCTAGCTATAATTTGTTGCTTGCTAAATTTGGATTGTATCTAACTCCAATATTTGGGTGCTATCATGTTACCAGAAAATATTTAGGATTGTATGATTAGACGATAATTAATTAGGTTTGAGTGTGACAAGATTAGGTCAAAGTTGAATGTATATGACTATGCCAAACTAGTTAATCAATCGAAATCTCACGTGTTGAAGCAATACTTGAAAGTACGTACTATAGCTATCTTAATTGGGGGTTTAAGGATCTAATTAGAGGTTGTTTAAGTCATATTTTGACATTTGATCAAGATATGTGATCTTAGGTAGATCACTAGGGTTTGTGACAACAATGAAATGATAGAAAATGCTTAATTTGCATCATATGTCGAAGTCGAATGTGATTAATTAGCGAAACGTTCACGTCTCACTCAACTTCACCATTTGGGCTAACCCAAACGACAACTTAATTATGATTCAATACTTACCCTCACTCTTTTGGCTTGTGCAATTATAATCTACTGAGCTAATCTACAAATGCTGTCCTAAAATGTATTGAAAATAGGGGAGACATGGGCAAAAGCTTCCAAGCCTGTAAAATTATGAGTAACATAAAAATTGTTATGTCCCATGATCATGTATTTAGTTTAATATCCTAGGAGATAAGATGTTAGGTTTCTACACATGCATTTCGGATTCGAAATTCTCTTCTCCTCTAAATTATTGAAATAATTTGGAACCATTTTTTGATAATAACTTTTCTTCAAAAAATTGTTCGTGGTCGTCATTCTTTTGAAAACAAGAAACCACACTAAGAATTGAGGCATAACTGTTGGAGCAATATTAGAAAATATGAAATCATAAAGAAAATCACAACATCAATAGTAAATATGAAAATCATAAAAACAACTAGAGATAAAGTTAGGAAAACTGACAAACTTTGAAGATTGAGGCTTGCATAAATGCAATGTCCTAAAGACAGAATTTCACCCCTACTCTTGTGCTTGTAGTTCGGTAGGCGTCCGTCTCCCAGGATTCAACAATCTATAATCCGAAGTCAAAGCACTTCAATCTTCGGACTCTGGCGAACTTCATATATTCTGTACTCTCAAGACACGACTCGGCTTTCTACTAAGACATTGGAAAAAACTCTTCTCTTCATTCTCTTAGACAGGTGGGATGCTTGAGTTTATATAGAACTTAAGCCACCCTTTTTGAAACAATATGACTGTTGTCTAAAGTTTCAACGAACAGATACAACTTATGAATTTGAATTCAACTATGACACATGACTCTTATTTTTCATTCATACAAAAATTAAATATTATAATATTAATTATAATATATAATTTCCCACTACTACAATATTAGCTTTAGGTGTCAGACGATTCTGGCGGTTAATAAGCCATTCTGACGGATAAAAGATATCCGACACATAATTTATTTACTGTCGGATTAAAGTTACTTTCTGTCGGATATATCCGACAGAAATTACTGGCGGATTTTTCCTGGCGGATTTAACCCTCAGTATTTCTTAATTCTTTTTTTTATAAATATTTTTAACATATTCTGGCGGTTTTTAAGTTAATGGTGGCTGTTATAACCGACAGAAATTAACTATTTTATTATTTTAGTTTTTGGCGGTTATTATTTTATTATTCTGACGGTTATAACTGACAGAAATTGACTATTATATTATTTTAAAATGTTATATTGATTAAAAATAAATAAATAAATAAACAAATTGACACACCCCGATCCTAGAATAAAGGCATGCTAGCCGTCACGTGAGCGTGACGTAACCATAAGTGCGGTGCGGAAGCAAAGATAAGAGAATTACGAAAGGATAAAAACCAATTACTAGCAAGAATAACCAGATAGCATGCTAGAGTGAGTTAAAGTGTGAACACACACATAAATAGAGCTTAAGAACTAGGTGCAGTCAAGTAGGACTATAATTAAGTTACAACACCCGCAGGTGAGTCCTACATTAGGAAAATCTGTCAGAATGCCGTAGACGTCCTCGTCAACCACCAACTGCTAACTAGAACCTGGAGGGGCGCAAAACAAAATTGAGTGGGTCAGTAAAACAAAGCTTTTCGAAAACCTTTCATTTAAAACATTTCTAACCCCTCGCTGTAAAACCTGTATACTTTCCCAGAAAATAGCATAATAGCATATAACTTTTCATAAATCTGAAATCATCATTTTTTCTTAAAACCAGAAAGTATGCCATGTTAAAACTTTAAAAAACAGAATGAATGATGCATCAATGTAACAGGTGAAATAATGAATCAACCGGAGACCCTGCAGTTGGTCCTGTATGGTTAATTCTATAGCTCAACATCAAATCCATCCGGAGTCACCTCGGTGACCTGTACGGCACTACACTGCATATAAGTCGGAACTACCTAAAGTAGTCTGTACGACATGAATGGTGAAATAATACGCTCTAGTGCTTCTCTCATCAATCATCTGTGCACATAATCTAAAGTCACCTATCAGTCGGAACCCTCTCATGGTCTGTACGACATGTCGGAACCCTCACATGGTCTGTACAACATGCACCTACTTGGATCCAAGGTGAGCGTGCGGTGCGAGGTGAATAATATAAGCACTAACACCATGATTGCAGGTTATGAGCTATCAACATAATACACATCAACAATGCACATGAATAACATAAACTCACCTAATACTCACCTGTGCGTCCACAACACCAATTCACATATATATATGCATCAATTATCAATTCATATAACTCATATCATGCATGCATGGCATTTGAAAACGTATTTTCATTCAAACTCAATTTCTGGGAAACATATCAATAGTATATAGGTAATAACAGAAATACTGCCCACTCACTGATAAGT